TTCTGCCTGTCTCTCTCTCTCTCTCTCTCTCTCTCTCTCTCACGCACACACACACACACACACACACACACACACACACACACACACACACACTTCCTTTCCCTCTGTATTTCTTTATCCGATCACCTACAGGCGAGTAAGCTGTACACAGTTCATGAGTACTCTCAGTCAACTGTCTATTTATAATTTCTTCCTGCTATTTTCAGCCTCGATTGTCCCATGCAATATTTTAAATTCTATGGGATTATTACCGATGTCCCATAAACTATCATCATAATAGAAGCGTAAATTTCACGTTCAGAAATCTAAACCGAGGATCTTCTTCATGTAAATCTAGGTATAGCCTGATCACAGCATTGGTTTCATCTGTCACTGTTTTTCGTTTCTCACTTTGGTTGAAATAAGAAAATAGGTGTAACTTTATTACATGTATTATTATTGTTAGTTTTAGCTGTAGAGTTATGAGTCAGTTTTCAGCCGAAGAAGGAGGGGGGCTTGCACACGTGTTCCTGCAGGCACCTGTCGAAGCAGCACTTGTCAACTCCGCCACACCTATAGTCGTTGGAGCAGGTGATGGGGCGCAGGCCGCGCACGTTGAACGGGCATGTGGGGCGCACGATGGGGCAGTTGAGAGGCTTGGTGCCGACGGGGCCCTCGGGCTCAAAGGTGTTCTCACAGCAGTACACTTGGTTCTCAGGATTCCTGCACCAGTACCTACACTGGCTGGGGCTTTGGTGTCCCCCGGTGCCGAAGAACCTGGTGGATCCTCGCCCATTGTTCGCCGAGGCCGCCGCCAGGACGCAGCACAGGATAGCAAGACTCACTCCCTGGGAACCGACGTTTTGCATTTATTTCGAGACGAACATTTGTGAAATACTGATATATATAATGCTAAATGATATATTCCTTTAAAAACGATATAAAATAATAACGATGTACACAGTAACAGTAAAGACAAATTGACAATAGTATTGATAGTAAGAAAATTGAATATATAGCATTAATAATAACTGTAACAGTAGCAGTCTAATAACAACAATGGTGATCAGGATAATGGTATTAATAATAAGGAACATGATAATATTAATAATAATGAACATAGTAATGATAGTAATAATGAACATAATAATAATAATAATTATAATGACAATAAAATAATGACAATAATATATTGATAATGATAATTAACATTATTATTATAATGGTAATGATAATAATATAAATACAAACAACAGCAATAATAATAATAATGCTAATAACAATAATGAAAAAATAATGATAAATAGTGATGATAACAATGACAATGATAATACTAATAGCATTATAATAGCAAAAACAATAATGATAATCGTAATAATCATTGCAAATATTACAATATATATGATAACAGTGACGATAACAATAACAATACGAATAACGACAATAGCAATAATGATGATAAACGTTATAATCATTGTAAATATTTACGACCACAGAACAGAGGAAATTATAGTTTTAGTCCTTTCTCGCTCTAAATTCTAAGGCCTAAAAACTCCTAAATCAAAAACAGGCGCCTTTTGGATAACGGGAGCTTACCTTCATGGTTGCCGATGAACAGGGAACTGTAGGGGTGTGAGAGCTTCGACCTCTTTATATAGGGATCCTGACAGCCCCTATTCTACCCCCACCCCCCATTCTTGGTCCCTCATCCCACGCCATACCCCATACCCCCTCCCCATACACACATCCCCCCCCCCACCCCTTTATAACCCAACTACCTTACTACTCCTACAACCATAAAACCTACACTCCCCCCTCCCCCCCCAGCTCCCTATCCCCCTATATACTAGCCTCGTCGCCCCTACATCCTTCCTCTTCTTACCCCCCCCCTTCCCCTCTCTCCTCCACCGCCTCCTCCGTTCCCTATACCCTTTACCTCCCCCCACCCCCCCCCCCACTCCCCTCCTCGGTTCTCCATACGTCTGGGTTGGATTCGGAATTTCCCGCTTTTGATGAATCTAGGGCGGTTTCTCCCTTCTTTTTTTCTTCTGTTCCTCTTCTTCTTCGTCTATTTCTTTATTCTTCTTCCTCTTCTTCATCTTTTTTTTCTGCTTTGGCTTCCCTTTCTTGATTTTTCTTCTCTCTTTCACTTTTTTTTTCCGGTCTATCGGATGTCCGTCTCAAATGCTCTCTCTCTCTCTCTCTCTCTCTCTCTCTCTCTCTCTCTCTCTCTCTCTCTCTCTCTCTCTCTCTCTCGCTATCTATCTATCTATCTATCTATCATTTCTCGATTACATTATTGATTATATTTGTTATTATTGTTCATATTTGTTATTATTGATTATATTTGTTATTATTGATTATATTTGCTATTATATTTATGTATCTCCATGTACTGTAGTTCCATGTATATATTTTCATTTTCTTTCACTCATTGGATCATATTCAGTAAACAACTTTCAACATACAAGCACCATACATAACTACACGAAATACATACAACATTCACAACCACATAAAA